GCGATAATTATCGTTATCGAATTATAGCCCAGCTCTATCTCTTAGCATCCAAAAATGCTTACTTATCATCATCTCTATCTAGTGTGGAAACTGCCACGGTAAAATAAGCCTTTCAGAATAATGTTTTTTTTATCAAAGGGGACTGTTGTTCATTTGTATTTAAGTTTGTATAGCAAATACTGATTAAATTCAGTTTAGTTTTGGATGTGCTTGTGGTTTTTCAAACATTCAATGAAAGCCAAAGCCAGTTACTTGCCTTAGATTTTTAATGCCTTTATGGGTGTTACTTTGAGCTAGTTATTCTGAGAAGAAATCATCCTTTCTGATGCCTGAAGCTTGTTGGAAGCCTGAAAATGTTTTTTTGAGCAGCAGCTGTAGAATTAGCACAACTGTTTTCTTTATGCTGACTTAACCTATGGCATCAATAAATGGCTTCAATGCATTAAAAACTGTCTAATCTTAAAGTGCTCCCCAAATCTGCACAGGTGGTAAATCAGTTGTTGTATTACTGGTAGTGCAGTGTAAGTACATCATAATAAGCAGAGTTTTTAGGTTACTGTTATTAATGTTGGCTTGTCATTGTTTTACATATTAAAGCTTTACTGTATTTAGTTTTCATGAGTAAAAGACTGAGTAAAAGAAATAATTGTTGTGTTTCCACATGGATTCAGTCTTCTACAGAAAGTGCTGTAGGTGAGGATAGACTTTTAATGTGCTGAATTACCTCTTGGGGAAATGATGACATTGTTATTTCATATGGGCCTACAGAAAGGCATCCATAAAGAATTGTCTGTGTCATAAGCAGAATGAACATCCGCTTGGCTATAAATAGAAAAATAGATACAAACCAAAACTTGGGTAAGTCTGTAAAATACAATATTTCTACATGAGGATTCAATTAAGTGAAAACTGCAGGACGGATCAGAATTGATTTTTGACATTTGTGATGGATGTCAGCATAAAGAATGCTAGCTGGAATACAGTGCCAGCCCTGCAGCAGTTGGCATTCTCTCAGAGAGTGCAGCTATGCTTTCCTGAAGCTCTGCTGTCCACGCACTGCTGAAAACATTCCTGTCGGATCAGTCACATATTTGAAGAATCACAAGATGGAAAGCCACCTGCCTTACACCTGGTGTAATAAGAACTTTAAACACACTGAGGTCATATTAGTTATTCAATAACTACATATAGAAGGGTAAAATGTAGTTTTAGTTCTGAATGTGACTCAGTGCAGCATGTGTTATCCAATGCATGCTGATGGTGTTTAAGCAGTGGGATTTTGTAATGGTTGCTGGTTTATTGCACATCGGCATATTTGGCAAGAATCCTGTAAGAAGACAACTGTAGCAGGTCAGGATGAAAGTGTGACAGGGCAGAGAATCCAGGAGAGCCAGAGAACTGAGCTGCAAGATCACAACAGCAAGAGGATCTGTAACTTTGATCTGCCTGTATCCCACTTTTCCACTTTAGCAGAATTATTTATGTCTTCAGATTATGGATACTGTCCAATACAGAGAAATATGCTATGCCTTTTAAATCTTTAGCCTCTTATTTTTACAGTCTCCATCATTGGTTGTGTGTCCCCAGTGTCAATTCATTTGATGATAATCTCCCATTTTACAGCACCGGTCACAAAACCAGGCGCGCGGGTTTTGTAACATTTCTAAATGTTTCTTCATTTTCAGATACGATCTCTTGTTGTTAGAACAGCTTTCATTATGTTCCAATTAATTCATTTTTTTCCCCATTTACAAAGAGTAGTAACACATCAGCAGTTTGAGTTTTACCGATGAAGTTTGTGCTCTAAATGTGGTCTACAATTTATTTTAGTCTGATTTGTTTAGGAATAAAATATTATTCTGCGTACTGTTCAAAATGTATTTACGCCGTGAAGACACCCAAGATAAAGATGTTATTGTACAATATAATGTGGAAAAGAAGGAGTATCATGGTTTAATAAACACAGACTTGTTAAACTGTGCAGGTTTCCATAATTGTATGTTGTTGAGTAAATAAATTCAGCAAAGACAGAAGCACACAGTGGATGTCTCAGCTCGGCGCAGTGTTCTAGTGTTCTAGTGTCAAGATCGTCTCTCAGTTGTTCATTTATATAGGAGCAGCTGTTAAAAGGCTGCCTTGTGAGGAGTCACCTCCCATCTGCTGCATTCTCAATGGGAGGCAGTGAGGCCTCATTGTCTGTCCATGCCCTGGCTCACATTTCCATCACAGAGCCCGGGCTCATTGTTTGCCTGCGGAGAAACGAAGAGACAGACAGGTGGGAGGCAGGAATGACACGGTTCCCGAAAAACCGTGCCCTCCACCCCACACCCTTTTTGTTCCCGAGTTTGTCCTAGACGGAGAAGAAGACCACCCTCGCTCATTGTCCTCTCCTGAAAGCCCGTCCATCTGTTCCCTCGCATGCTTGCAGTGGGCTGGGTGGCTGGCCAAGGAGGCCAGTGAGAATTCATCACAGTGTTCAGCCTTCTTCTAGTTCTAGCAGGGAGTTCTCCCTGTTTGTCCTCATGTGGTGGAAAGAGAAGCTCCATGTCCATTCTGACTTGAATTCTGTTTTTCTTACCTGGCTTACCGAGGAAGTAAATTCAGCAGGTGTCCACTTACGGGGTCTGCTGAGATGGTACTGATTTATATCTGAAGAGACCTGGAGCCATTGAAGAAAACCACCAAGGGTAGCAGTGTCTCACGTGGGATTTGAACCCTGTCCTAACCACCCATCCACACTGCTGCTGAAGGGGTTACCTCAGCCATTCTTCATTGTGTGAACTTGTGTGTTATTTCCATGTCCTGTTCTCTAAACCACAAAATAATATTTAGGTAGAGTTATTAAGTTCTATTTTTTATTAACAGCCACTGACCCGTGTTTTGAAATAAACCAATATCTCTTTCAGAAAGAATGATTTGGATCTGTACTGTGATTTCATCAGACATCCTAGTATATTATGGAATAATGTCACTCACTATAATATTTCAATGGAAGGCATATTGAAGGCCTATCTGTCCTTTGAGCTGCATTATCTGTTTCATTGTGGTCCTCTAACTCCATAACTGAATATCAACTCCATTGTGTTAAATCATAAAATGTCCAGACTTTAAAAAAATTGTGCCCTGAAAGTCATAATATGAAGTTGCCTCTCATCCAGTGTACAAACTAACAATTCTGTGAGATATAAAGAAAATTCAGAAACTGCCTTTTCAAACAGCCCTATTTACAACATTCTGAAGTACAACTTTAATTAAGTTGCTGCAAAGAATTTCCGTTCTTTGCAGCAACTTAATTAAAGTAAATATTAAGCTTTTTAATAGTGTATTTGTTCATTTATTTAGGTACTATGATGGTTTATGGACTCTAGCATTAACTTTATTTCCAATATTAAATAGTGACTCTAGGAAACAGTTTTAGCTCCTGTAGATTTTCTGAGGGTTGTACTATACTGCCTCTCTCTGACTAAACTATTTTGTTTTGTTTTTTTCAGACTGGGACCAGGGTATCAAATTGGGAGTGCTAGACTGTGCATTTGAGAAGAACTTTGATATCTGCAAAGAGTTTGGAATCCATTTCTACCCCACATTTAGAGTACGTGTGTTCCCAAATGGCAATTCTATGTATGACGTGTACATACTGTATGTATAATGCTTCTAGTAGCATCAACTTGAATATGGATCATGACTGTATTTGTAAACAGTGTAAAATTGTTCACTTTCAGGTGTCATAACATGCAGCTTGAGATGTAAAGATGTTTTCTGTTTAAAGTTATCACTCATTTGTATTTGGCTCTACATTATTAAGATGTAACTTATGTTTACGCTTGTTTTGTGGGTTCGTCATGACAGCTTGTAACTAATGAGCTGTTTATTTTAATATTTAAAACATTTTTTCATTAATACTTAATGGCAAGGCAGGTTTAATGCAGAATAGGCACTCTTGTACAAAGGATATATTGGGCGCGGAGATTATCATTGCCATTTTTTAGTCATCCTTTTGATGTGCTTAAAAGCACTTCTTTCAGTGATGGGAAGCTCAATTGTTTCACCGTCAAATGGGATTTTGAAATAGTACATTTGTTATGACTTACTGGCTGTTAGGTAAATGCATAAATCTGTTACATTTTTTATGGCACATTTTTTTTTACAGTGAGGGTAAGTCTGCATATTGACGGGTATACTGATTATGCCAATGTATTCTGAGTGGTTATGCCAATATAATGTGAAACAGCCATTTTGCATTCAGTAGCATTTATCCAGAACAGGCAAGAAAACAATAGCGGGCACACAGATGGCTTGTTAAAGCCATCTGTTCAGAGCTTCCACTTTGTATGGAGAGTTTTGCTGTTAAAGAGTCAAGCTTGGAGGGTGGCTTCTCCAGGTTTTTTTGAGTGATCCCTGAGAATTTTTTTTTTATCCCTGAGTGAGGGAGCTAACTCACTGATAACAAGAGCTAAGTGATACAGACTTAAATATGTTGATCATAATACTCAGGTGAGGGTTAGTCAACTTTGTAAAATCATCTCAAAATGCCAACATCGACACATGGTTGAAGATCACAAGTACAAATTCAGTTATCACGAGTTAACATATTGTCAAAAGTAATTAAGATTTGTTCTCGGTTGTTAAAATATGAAGATTGAATGTTCAGTAAATGATCATGCTTCTGTGACAAGCACTTCTAAAATGCAGCTTAAAAAAAAGAAAAGGTTCAGTTGTCATTAATCTGACCTTCATTAGTAAACCGCATGCTATTTTAGTTATCTGCCAGCAGGTGGTGATAGCAATGCTGCTTTTCACCCAAACACACAAGCGTCACTCAAGAGGCAACTTAAAGTAAATCATTGTATATGTACAGAACCATTATACAATATATGATGCATATATCGAATACCAATGAGACACTCCTTGTCCCACACAGTTATGGATCAGGCTGCACAGCCATGCCATTTAAACAGATATTCTAACTTCTTTCAAGAACTGGCTAGAAGAGATCCTTGGATCAATTAGTTATTAACTACCAAATGAGCTACATGGGCTGATTGGCCTCCTGTCATTTATAACATGTATATTTTATATTTGAACATTTTTACAACTGTTTCCTCCTTGACAGTAAATAACTTCCACCATCAAGGAACTCTACTCATAACAGCATAATCATATCTGATCATGTGCTCCTGAATTTCCAGCTGAGCTTCAATAATTGATCTCAATCTCTCCACTTCAGTAATTACCTTATTCTCTAGCAGAGACTAGGGGACTTTGTGGAGTTTATGAATAAGAAGATTAAGTCGTTATTAGATACTAATAGCACCCCTGATATTTACCTCTGCTTGCTTTGGGAGTCCATAACAGCTTACCTCGATATCAAATTATTTTGTTGCAAAGCCTGACTTAATAATGGTTGAGGCCCAACCTCTGGGGACTTTGAAGAAAGGGCTGGACAAAATTTAAGTTTCACTTTGTGTTTTCAAGATAGCAAGTTAGACAGAATGGTTCCCTTTCATTATTATCCTTTCTTATGCTCATTTGTCTGAAATAGGGGCACATCCATCCACAATGTCATGTTGTGTGTAATCATATGGACATTAGGACCATTAGATCCATATGTAATGCATATAGCATTTTCATTTGCTACATTTATAATCTGTATAGGCTCATTAGTATAGTCTGAATCGTATTGCTGGTGTGAAGACTTCAGCTCTTGGTTGTAATAAGTCTGATCCCACACTCCTGATGCTGTCCTGTTTTTCCTTTGTAGTTCTTCAAAGCACACAGCACCACATTCGATGTTGGAAAAACATATGGAGGTGGGTATTATCCACTAAGGATGCACCTAGTATTGTCATTGTATGAGTAATTAATGATAGATGTATGATTTCCATTTACACTTCAGTGTCTTGTCTCAATAAGATTATTGCCCCCTTTTACTTTGTACACTCCTGGCAATTCACATTTTGTGTTAGTAAAAATACACATTTTTTAAGGTAAACAATATTCCATTCCAGCAGCTATATCACCCTGCAGCTCTCAACTGGTTACCCAGTGAAGCTCAGCAGGGTTGAGCCTGGTCAGTACCTGGATGGGTGACTCCTGGGAAGCTGTGGTTGCTGCTGGAAGTGGTGTTAGTGGGACCGACCAGTAGGGGGCTCACCCTGCGGTCTGTGCGAGTCATAATGCCCTGGTATAATGGTGGGGACACTATACTGTAGTGGGCGCCATCCTTCGGATGAGACGTTAAACCAAGGTCCTGACACTCAGTGGTCATTAAAGATTTCTCAAGAAGAGGACGGAGTTATCCCTGTGTCCGGGCCAAATTCCCCCCCTCGGCCTTTACCGTGGCCTCATGTATGATTGGCTTGCACTTGCCCTGCGATGGACTGGCACCCTGTCCAGGTTGTACCCTGCCTTGCGCTCGTTGCTTGCTGGGTAGGCTCCGGCTTCCTGCAGCACCATATGGTGTAAAGTGTAAATGACTTGACATGATGATGACGACAATATTCCATCTTCAATTTTTACAAAACTGGGGTATGTTTTCAAGCACAGACTACTTTAATCCCTACATCAGCTGCATCACTAACAAGTTTTGTTTGCTCGTGCATGAAGAGTGGTCGTAACAGTGCCTCCTTTTGCAAACAGGCGCCGACAGGGAGCTGCAGACCATGAGGCAGCTGATGGTGAGCTTCCTTCAGAACCACAGCAGAGAGGAATGGCCAAGCAAATGCCCCCAACTGGAGCCTTCTGGGTACTGAACCTCCTCCCACCTCAAATATGCTTAACAGTGTTGTGCATTCTGCAAGCTAGAGTTTTAAATAGCACATGTCCGTGGATTATTTGGTTGTAACTTTTGTTGTAACTAAAACAAATAGTTACAACTTTTACAATTTATGTAACAAGCTTGTGTAACTTTTGCTACAGCTTTTGTGGCAACTATTTTGTTGTAACTAACAACAACTTTTTTCGTTGCTTAAATCAAGTGATCAACTGTTCCGTAATTGGATTGTTGCACTAGAATCCAGCAATTAGCTTTTGTCTATTTTAAAGGCCTTGGTTTCTTTTCTACTGAATGCAAAAGTATTTTTGGCATTTTGAAATGATTAAGTGCTCTGAATGGTAGTATGGGTGGAATAGTATTATAAATCATTAAATTGTGCCAACAATGTTTGAGATTGGAGTTGGGTACCAAAAATTGAAACAATAATTTATTGTTAAGCAGAACAATTTTAAGAATCTGCAATCAGATTCCTAAATAGCAAAAGAAATATAAATAATAACTAAATCACTAAAAAGTGCATAAAATGCAGAACATAACTTGCATAAAAATATAATTCTTCATACTACATACTAATGTGTAATACAGTGCACTGTCGTTAGCTGTCATGTGTACAGTGCACAGTGCCATACTTCTATAACAATTCTAAAAGTGTAAAAGGTAATAGCATCATGATAGATTTGTGGTGAGCCTTGTGGCTGCACATACACAATGTATAAACATTTTATGGGTCACATATTAGTAATTTTATCATGCAAAACATTGCTCATCAGCATGGATCAACCATGAAACTCCCAGGTTGCAGATGTTGTCTTGGGGTTGTATTCCATTCCTATGATAGTGCCTGGACAAGCTTGTCCACTGGCTTCTGACTTCTCAATGTTTTCAGCCATCCCTGCTCATCCCACAAATATTCAGTAAGCTTTAGTCGGACATATAGGGCTTCCATGGCATAAACATCACATTCTCATTTCACAAGAAAGGCTTTGTTACTTGAGCAGCATGAGGGTTTTCATCCTTCTGGAATGTTGTCACACCAGAATGAACCTGCAGGCAAAGCAGCAAGCATTTGTACCTTCCTATCACAATAATTAATATACTGTTCTGCATGCTTGCACTTGGCTCACATCCATCAGGGTGGACAAAGCCAAACCTTTCTTCCTCACTAAAGACAACTTGCCTCTGATGCTATCAGGTTCACTTAACCCAATCTCAAACACTCATGTTGTTTGGATAAGCAGAGCATATTACTTCATTTCTGTGCTTGAGCCCAGACTCTTCCAGAGTGAAGTTATGTCCATCATGTTCTAATAGCCTAGTAGAAAATACAGTTGTTACTATTGCCTCTAGAATATTAAGAAATACTTTAGTGCAAGGTGATGTCAGTGGATGTTTCATTTCAGCTCTTCTGTGTGGTTATATATCTTCAGCAACAGGCATCTGCACACCCATTGAGACCACAGATTTTCTTTTCTTTGTTCACATCCTCATTTTTTATAAACCTGTAGGTCCTTTGGGCTCACTTGTAAGGAATTAGAATTTTAAGCTGGTGTGGTTACTGCCTGTCAACTGCATTATAGAGAAATGCCATTCTCTAAGGCTTGATGTGACCAGCAGACCTATATCCTGCGGTTGAAATTGAGTCCAAAACCCCAGTGACACTATCGCTCTTTCTCTAAGGTCTGCTGACGTGCTTGCCCAGCTTGGCCAGAAGGCTGAAGAGTACACTGCTATCATTATTGAGGAAGAAGACTCTTACGTGGGACGAGAGGTAAGATGCTAGAGCAAGTGTTTCCAGCCTTGTTCCTGGAGACTTTCAATTTAATAAGTATTATGCCGTAGTTCACAATAAATCAACTAGTTATGATGTTTGGAAACATTCAGAAGTTCTGAATTGATCAAGAAAGTAATCTGTTTAATTAAGAGATTTTCATTCAACCTTGAGAGTTGAAGGGTGTTCTAACTATTGTTCCAGTCAATCTGTAAATTAATCAAACACATGACCTGCATATTTGACCGTTAAAAATAAAGATGTGGAACAGTTAAATTGTTCTGCATCTTAAGAAACGGGGATAGTGGTTATCTAGAAAACCTGCAGGACCTGGGTTTTCTAGTAGCAATTCGTTGTTTTTATCTTCATTTGATCTCAGCAAGTTGTTGAGTTGAAAGCATGGGCTTTAAGCTGCTCCTGTCTCTCAGGTGATTCTGGACCTGATGAAGTATGAGGGTGTGACTGTGAAGAGAGCCTTGGGCTCAGAAAAGCTCCTTTTGGAGAAGCTGGGGATCGCTGCTCTGCCCTCTGCTTATCTCTTAGAGCCCAGTGGAAAGCATGGGCTCATGAATGTGTAAGTGTTGGACTCAAAAGGCACACTCCCCATATAGCATTCCTGTTGTCGTTTTTCTAGAAGGGGTATGTGGCCTCCTTTACAGTATACCTACATTCCTTATCTTAGGCTCATTTGCTTAGTAGAGCCAAAAATGATTTAAGATAGACGCGGCACACCAGAAGATGGTAGTCATGGAGGAAGGGGAAGGGTTTCACACTAGTTAAAAGAGAGATTGTTGCAAGGGAACATTGATATGTGTGAATTCATGGTTATAAGGAAAGCAGCTGCAGGAACTGAAGCCGAATAAGGGATAGCTCTTGGAAGGCAACCTGGGGAAAGGAAAACCCTGTTTCATAAGGGAATTAAGACCTTTTCACCACAGTTATCAATAATCCCAGAAATTCCCCTAGAACCCAGTGAAACTCAGGTGTCATCAAATGCTTAATGCCCAGTGTTGGAAGTACAATAGCATTACTCTGTCTTAGAGTCTTAGAGAAGTATAATGAACAAGTACAGCAGCAATAAAGCCTCAGGCGGTGGAAGGAACAGTCTAGCCCTCAGATCAGCTAAAATGCCACATACAAATTTGCATAGCTGGAAAACCATGACTTGAAGGCAGTGGGTAACAGGTGGAAGGTCGCCAAAGCCTTCACCCCCGAGACGTGCAGCACGCCCTGCCGCCGAAGGCCTTGGGAAAAGACAGTTCATTAAAGAAGTGTCTGATCGTCTGCTCTCGCAGGGAGAAGCGCCTGCGATTCTTCTTCTCGTCCTATCTCAAGCTGCTCCCTGGAGTCCGGAGGAAGCAGGCCCTCTCCGCCAGGGCCCTTGGACCTGCCAGGATGTCGGGGAGTGCTGTCGCTGTGGTTTGGAAGGACTTCGACAAGTGCGTCTTTTCTTGTTCAGCAATAATTATACCGGAGAACGCATTATCGAAAACACATTTAAATCAGCACCTGACAAAATGCACTGTTAAGTGTAATTATTTTAGGAATACACTACAACATCCAAAGAAATGAGACTGCAGAGAGATATGATCTGATTTGAATTTCAAAATGTTGAATTCTTCATAATTAGAGAAAGCCATCGCTGGTAATCTTTTTTTCAATGAAGTCAAGAGCTTGTTCAGGTGCCAGAAGATCTGTTTCTTCAGCAGCTCCCATCAGATCTGTATTTTAAATTTCCCTTGTGATGCACTCTGTAAGGTACGATTTAGTGATTTGGTACTCTCCTTTTTTGATAGTTTATTAAGAATTCTGTCTGTGAAACAGAAATTACATGGTAGAAATGCTACTATCATAGCACTATTATGCTATTATCATACCATAATTCCTTGCATTTGTGTAGTGCTGTACATTCCTAAGAATGAAAGGGTGATGTCCTGTAGCCATAACAGCCTTAGTAGACAGCTGGAGGAAAGAGAAGAATTTACTGACTTGGCCTTCTAAGCACTTACAGTACAAGAGTATGGAGTTTTCAGACACTTGTGGATCGTTAAACATTTTTTGAGACAGTGGTTTCAAATAGCACATAGAAAGAATTATATGGTTAGTTTTGAATTAGAGAGATTAATTATTGTGTCACGTTTCTGTATTTGTGCATATTGACGGTTACAAAAAATTGTAAGCAGTCCTTATGCCGTTTATGTGCGTGATATGTATAAATATTAAGTTAGCCATTGAAGAAAAGGTAAGCTGTCTGTTAAACTAAGACCTGGAGTTTTTCTGGATAGATTTTCGAACCTGTGTCTCCAGCAGCAAGCACAGATTAACTATTCGCTTGAATAACTGTCAGTGCACCAGTAGTTTATTGTCCTTGTGAAACAAAATTGCAAATTATAGAACTTTTTTGCTTTTAAATTGCTTCTGTAATTTATCTGTAACTGTACATACACTATTAGGTGTTTTGATCAGTACTGTAATTTTGATTTTGTGCAAGTTAGAAGTCTGCTATAAATACTTATTTCGCTGCTGGCTTGAAAAAAAATGCACATACTTGGGTTGGCTGTCTTTTCCAAATATGCCAGTTTTCCAAATTTTATTTTCCTTTGCTCATTCTGAACCTTTTGCTTTACGTTTTTAGAGATTTTAAATGTTGGTCTGTTGCAAGCCTAGATATTGTTGTATTAATTTATTCACTTGGTGAAAGGCTTTTAATATAATATGCAAGTCCATTTTCATTATGCTTCTCTTTAATTGCATCATTTATTGATTTCCACCAATAAACTCATTTAATTTCTAATTAGATAATTAATCACAGTTACAATGGGACGCTTAAAACAAAATGGCTTTAAATTCATTGAGAGATCATTACAGAATTGTAATGGAACAAGTGGAGCAATATCAAATGTCTTAAAACTTTTACACAGTAGTAGTATGAAGCTGTGCCACAAAAAAAAAAAAACGTTTTAATTGCTGCTTTCCTTTCCCTGTTGGAGTTGTGATGCCATCTGCTGGGGTTCTTTGGCTTTAGTCCAGTTTTGATGATCTTGGCTTTTCAAGTTACTTTGAGCAACAGTCACAGATCTTTGCTTCCTTACAGCTAGGAATGATTCTTTTTCTGTGACTTCTTTTAAATTTTTGGCTTCTACTTTGAAGCCAAAATGCTTTTTTTTATGTTTTACTGTCTAAGAGCATCTGCTAAGCAAATTGCAGTGGCTTCTTATCCTGTTTACTGGTACAAGGCTGCCTGTTCTAACATCAACTTTATGTTCCAAAGGCTGTGTGAACATTCAACAGCTGAACTGTGCCGTCACACACCACAGCTTGCCACCAGGGGGCTCTCTTAGTAGTATTTTTTTCGCCTGACAGGTGTTACGTCTGAACTAGCAGTATAAATTGTGGGTATTAACTCTTCCACAGCCATGACTTAGCTGAACAGTTGTTAGTCTTCAGAACAGTTAGTGGCGTATAGCAAAGCAGTAAAGACGTGATCTAAAATTTATTCTACTGCAAGTCAAATAGGATGTCGGCACCTTTTAAGTAAAAAAGGTTTTTTTTTCCCAATCTGATGGATAATATAGTTTTTCCTTTAACTGCTAAATATTGTGTTATCTGGCAATACATTTTTTCAAAGTACAATGAATATCAATTGCGAATTGAAGTTTTCAACGGATGAAAAAAGCAGTGTTTTTTCTTTAATGAGGCGAAAACAAATGAATGTGAAGGAGGATGACATGAAAGCTTTCCTTTTTATGAACAGATTTGGCAACTTTATGTGATTATCACGTCAGCTTTGCCTCACACCACCAGAGTTTGCGAACCTTGTCACAAGGACGTTCCCTGTAGTTTTGAGACGTGTGTTTTCGCTCTGTGTATTTCAGGTCCAAAGTGTACATGGCCGACCTGGAGTCGGGATTGCATTACCTGCTGAGGGTGGAGCTGGCCAGCCACCAGACACTTGAGGGAGAGGAGCTCAAGACATTTAAGGATTTTGTTACAGTCGTTGCTAAGGTAAATCCAAAGGCTCATGTTTCTCGGGCAGCTCCCTTCCCCTGCAGGACAGAAGTGTCCTCTCATTCCCACCTCACTCCTGCTGCACAGGGATCATTTAAGTGTTATTGAGAAGCCTTGAACTTAAAACTATACAATAAGGACCAGGTGGCAGGTCCATTAAACTGACTGTCTGCTCCATGATGACTAATGTTATGTATGTGAATCTCATGACTTGCGTAATTTTATAGTATATAAAAGTTTATAGTATAGTAGGTTATTTTTTATTTTGTTTTTAAAAAGACAACTAATGTGGCTGTGTTTAAATTTAATCCGTATCTGAATTGTTCCTTAACTGAATCCCTTATGTTCTTATTTTGTCTGTTTTTGAAAGGCTTTTGGCAGCAGGGCCAAAAGTTACATCTTCCTTTGTTCAGGGAAATACACTAATTGATCTATACTGTAAGAGTAAACAATCTTAATATAATCAAGTTGAAAGGTAGTATATAATTAGTTTGAATAATCTCTTTTTGAGAATGAAGCAATGGATCACTGCAATCTGATCCCCCTTCTGTCATTTAGATTTGGTTGTTTATAATGCATATACTGTATATAGCTGAAGATATTCATAAAGAAAGAAAGCCCACCTGCAGTGGCTGATGGAAGAAAGAACAAATTATCATAAATCAGAGTAAAAGGGTCTGATCCCTAGAAGCAATAATCTGTTGCTGGCCTCTTTTCCTTAAAGAAAGTGCCCTGCCTAATCTGTCCGGGCCATTAACCTGGAAAGGCTGTGCATGGTAGCCACCTCATAGGGCACCAGGATCAGGAAAGTGGAAAACCCAACTGGTGTGATGCTGAGGGGATAATGCTACAGGCACAGCAAGGTTTAGCCATTGGGCTTGCTTCCCTGGTTCTTGGCCTACTTTGGGGTGGGTGAAATGAGGCCGTCCGGAGTCTAAGGCATGGATTAAGAGCCTCTCGCTCTCTGGTTTGGGATTTTGCTCTAATGCCAGACACTTTAAACTCTGCCAGGGATTAAATGGAAGGGGGAAGTAAGAATAGCATGTGTGTAATGAAAACATAATAATGATAATAGGAGCTGATGTCTTGTTGCACAGCCCATCTATATTGTCTGAGCAGCATCTTAATAATGGACAGCCAAGACAATGGATTTTTTTTTTTTGTTCGTTTTGTGTGTTTGATCTGGGGTTCACCCGATTTTCTGGATTGTGACTACTTAGACGTTTTTTCTAAAGGACCCACCCAGTCATCTTACCTTGTGTCTTTTTATATTAAAGACAATAAATCCTGCAATGTAACTGGTAGACGTCGTTGGTGACGTGCTTTTTTATTTTCCTGGGTTTTCTTGATTTTGTTTAAGTATTTGACTTTGGGTTCAGTTATGCAGACATGGTTCTGTGAGGGACTCTCCACATGACTCGCTTCATTTTGGTACTAATTGAATAGTTATGGAACGAGAGCAAGTCATCGTGCAAAGACGGAACGGGTTGTAGGCAGTTATAAGTAATTCTGTAGGATCCATTACTGAAGAGCAGCATTGTTTGTACAAGTCTCTGCTTAAGGAGAATCCATGTCCGCTTAGTCTCTTTCTCTGTTAAGTTGCTGGGACCTGTTGTCAGTTATGAGGCGTCAGTACAAATTGACGCTAAGACGACTAGTTGTCCATTGCATGTAGCTGAGTGTTGGGGGATTCTCTGTCCTCAGCTCTTCCCAGGGCGGCAGTCTGTCGTCAAGCTGCTGGAGACTCTGCTGGAGTGGTTGGTCAGCCTGCCCCTGGAGCGAATCCCTTATGATGCCATCCTGGATCTTGTTAACAATAAAATGAGGGTGAGTCCACCACTCATAACCATAAGGAGGGTTACAGCTCAAATGTAGGCCACTGAGCCTGTTCCAGATACCCACTGCTCTCTGAGTACACATGTGTTGCCTGTTCTGTGTCCTTAATTCCATTTTGTTTTCCAATTCTTACCCCATGTCCTTGTTTCACTATTGAGGGTGGAACAGTCCCCCAGATTGATCCTATCTATACCCTTAAGGATTAGGTATACTTGGATCAAATCTTTCAGTCTTCTCTGTTCTAGACTGAAGACATTTAGGTCCCTCAACCTGTCTGTTTACAACTATACCCTGAGACGAGAAATCATTTCTGTTGTTCTTTGAACTCTTTCTAAACTTTAATATCTTTTCTGTGTTACACTGACCAAAACTGCACACAGTATTCCAGATCTAGTTTCCTACTGTAGAATTTAGGCATAGCTTTTTCTGATTTAAATCACTCAAAAATCTTTATTCCAAATCCTTGGACACACTTTCTACTATGTACCCAAGCCTTTTATTTTAATTTTTATTGCTTTTTATTCCATGTCACTTGTTTGAACAATTCTAGCATTTTAATTAGACAAGATCTTCCTTTTCTAGCCCATGTTGGCTGTAAATTAAAATGTCCTTGTTTTCTAAGGATTCTTCTACTTTCGTTGTAGCTATCCATGATTTTAAGTAATCCATAAATGTATTTCCATAACTGTACAAGTAACAGAAGTAAGACTGGTGTTTTTCCTGGTTGAATTCTGTCACCCTCAGTGGGCTTCCATGATCATCGCACTTGCCAGGTTCCAGACCAATGTTAGATGAATGGGTCCCTTCAGTGACGTTTTAGATTGTATTGTTCAATAAGGTCTTCTGTAACAGCTGTGTTGCATAGAGCCATTCGTGGTGGTAACATTTTGCAATTGAAAGGGACATGCATTACTTTTCATAGCCCTGATCCTGTGAAATGTAAATGTTACCACAACTCTTAGAGGTTACTACGTACACTAGAGCATACATTGAAAAAGACAGGAATTTGAATATACTAACCTTTGATTTCAAGGTGGTAGGTTCATAACCTGTTTGTCATGATGCTGTTGCTATCTTAGGAAAACCAGGGTTGATGAAACAATGGTAAGACGCTTCGTAGCTTTGATTGGGTGCATTACACATTGTTTGAATCCCATTATCATCGGTCTTTGCTGTATAACTGCAGATTTCGGGGATGTTCCTGAGCGATCAGCTTCAATGGGTGGGCTGTCAGGGCAGTCGGCCCGAGCTGCGTGGGTACCCATGCTCTCTCTGGACACTCTTCCATGCTCTGACAGTGCAGGCTGCTCAGAGACCTGACGCCCTGGCCAATACTGGTAAGTCCACTATAACGCCTGCATTGGTCGCTATGTCCCTGAGCTCTCACAAATATACTGAGAATGTGGAATTCTATTCGGAAGCTAAGCAGGGTCGGGTCTGGTTAGTACTTAAATGGGAGACCACCTGGGAATACCAGGTATTTTAAGCTTTGGGGCGGAGTGGTGGCACTATGGCTAAGGATCTGCGCCTGTGGCTGGGAGGTTGCTGGTTCAAATCCCGCGGCCAGCAGACGAATCCTACTCCGTTGGGGTCCTGAGCAAGGCTCTTAACCCCAACTGCTCTGTATAAATGGCTGACCCTGCACTCTGACCCCAAGCTTCTCTCCCTGTCTGTGTGTCTCATGGAGAGCAAGCTGGAGTATGCAAAAAGACAAATTCCTAATACAAGAAAATTGTATATCGCCAGCAAAGTGATCTTATCTTATCTTATATTAGAGTGGCTCAGTTTTTTCAATGTACAAAACTTGTTTTCGCCGAAACCGATGAAAATGCAGCTCTGAAACTGCATTTGTGATTTTTTTTTTCAGGACTGTTCCTTTGGTCAGCACAATATAGGAACTATCAAAAATGACATTCTCTTTGTATACGTGGCGGACAAAAACTATTTGGTGTGTGCAGGTTAGAATACATTCCCGCTAAACTTTGCTCCAAACACGTTTCTACATGAAAACATGTGGCTGCCATGAGTTAAAGGGTGTGTTTGATATGGATGTCTTGTGACATCTTTCAGAGACATTTTGGGAAAATATAAATGTTCACAAGTATATTGTATATATGTGGGAAGGCTGTTGAAGGCTGTCGACTATTTTTCTATTCCGCAACTGAATATAGCTGATTGGCCGCATTATTGTATCAGCCATTAATGACATTTGATCTTTCCTTCCGTTGAAATAGAAAAATATGGAGTATAAAATTCGAATATGAAATTATGCACAAGCTAATAAGTGCTTACTTGTGTTTGCTTTGGAATTTGCTAAATAAATAGGAATCCTTACGCATTGTATCAAAAGAAACTATCTGCCTTCAACATTTCCTCACAGGCAAAATCTTTTTATAACACTTACATAGTGCACTAGAAATACATATAAACATTGCTTTCACTTCTATAGTGCTTTTCTGGCACTCAAAGTGCTAGACTCCCCTCCACCACCACCAGTGTGCAGCCCCACCTGGATGATGCAACGGCAGCCATAGTGCACCAGAACGCTCACCACACATCAGCTATCAGTGGAGTGGAGAGCAGAGTGAGGAAGCCAATTCATAGAAGAGGATTATTTGGAGTGCAAAATTGGTTAAGGCCAGTCAGAGATTTGGCCTGGATGCCAGGGTAACACCCCTACTCATACACTATAAGAAGACATATGTACAGTATGTCACACTTATAATACTTGTCATGAGTGAATGTTTTTGACACTGTTGATCTCACAGTGGTGCATATTTGGTTTGGTTATTTTTAATATCTACTATTCTACTTAGTATCTATTTTTAGTATGTTGCTATGGGTTCAGATTCTTTATCATAGTGGCATCAGCATTCCATGCTAATAACACAAATTTGTGATCTGTCTTGTTGCACAATATAAAATGAAAATTATTATTTTATCCTGTATCGATCAATGTTTTTGCTGAGGAAGAAAGTGGCTTGGCATGCAAACATCATTGCTTGCAACTACAGTTTATTTGTTTTAAGCAGCCTAGCAATTATTAACAAGTCAACAGAGGGAAAATAAAGTCTTGTATTTTTCTCAACATTTTTCTTTGATATAAGAAGTCATGCATAATTGTAATGTCTGGTTATAATACAGATATTCTATAACTACAGAAATCAAATTTATATTTATAAAAATATCCTTTTAGCATATATTTATAACTGTGCATTTTTCTAAATTTTTGCCTGTAGTCGTTTTTTGACAGGTAATAAATCCCACTCATATTCATTTCTCTCTGAAGTTAAGAGTTAGAATTTCAGAACAACAATTTCTAGAGAAACATTTTATTCCTTGATGTTTATTTCGGTGATTTTACAAAAATACAAAGACATAAAATGTGCTCATTAGATCAATAGATAATAACAGACATGCCATGTTTAGACCCAGTTCCCTTGTTTGCCAGACTGGTAGATGAATTGTTTTCTAATTTATTGAATCAAGACCAGCTCAGCAATAATGACATATAATAATGACACAATGATAAATGCAGGCTTTTAAACATGTGACCTTTGTGCTCTCAGTCGGAAGCCCGTTGGAACAGCACATTCTGACAGAGTATGATTAATAAGTAAATACATTATAAATAATAAATTAATTAATTTTGGAGTTGAGTGATTACATCCATCAGTGAAATAGATTTCAGTATTTATACTATTCCATTCCCCTCTGTGAACAACTTTCTCTCATGAAATGCATTAAGCTGAGGTGCTATCAACACACCATAGCAAAGAGCCTCATTTCATTTGGCATGGGAGCTCGGTAACACAGCATACAGAGAGTTTACGTTCATTTTCAGTTTATTGTGTGTTACCGCATCTTATTTTGCTGTTCAATAATGCAATGTGCTGATGTCTTACGAATATAAAATTGTCTGCGGCAGATTGTAGAGTTTTTAAGCAACCAGAACTTGGTTGCAGATGAGGCCAAGTTTTGTATTGTCTGTGTGCCTCATTGTGGCCTTTTCTCTTTTGTACAGGACTCGAGGAGGACCCACAGGCCGTCCTACAGACCATGAGGCGCTACGTTCACACCTTCTTTGGGTGCCAGGAATGTGGCCGGCACTTCGAGGAGATGGCCAAGGAGTCTCTAGACCAGGTGAAGTCTCTCCAAGAGGCTGTGCTGTGGCTGTGGAGGAAACACAACCAGGTCAACAATCGACTTGCAGGTCTGTCCCAGCACTCATCCCTCTACAAACCTTCATAACCTCTGACTTCTCAATGCTTAGCATACTGTATATGATCACTTCACTACGTTTAGATTAGCATAATGCTAACCCACTGTCAAGATCTCAAAGCACCTTTAGAGACACATTTATGAGAAAGCTAAAATGAAACCTACAGAAATAAAGGTGTTATATATTACCTGGAACAAGCTAACATAGCTCAGGAAACCCCTATGTTCCCATATGGCTTTGAGGTACCTCCAGTGCCCATATCCATTCAAGGATTAGACTAGGGGAAGAGAGCATTTTCTCCTCTTGTCTTGACCTGTAATTTATTGCTGAGTTTGTGTCGAACCCTACACAGCACATTGCTGTTACAGTACATGTTGAGACTTCATTCAAGTCTGCCTAATAAGCATTTCATTGCACTTGTGCATATGATAAATAAACTGGACTCTGAACCTAGATTTGGTAGATCTGCTCCTTAAAAAGCAAAAGGGGAAAGGATCCCCAGATGTAAGACATTCACATTCCTAAGGTAAGCTGCTGCTCTATCAACTCCAGAACCTGACTTCCTCCAGCTCCCAGCAGTCAGTTAGGGCAAATACATTCTGGGCTTTCCTCTCCCTAGTGTAGGTCTACCACAGTATTAGGTTTAAAATCTCAGATGTTTTGATCTAATGTTTAATTTATATGTCCAGTTATTACTTTAAATAATGTGTTTTCCCCAGTTTCAAGGCTTTCAATTTCCTCCATTTTTCTTGTCACTTATTCAATCTAATCCTTCTGCAAGTGATTTCTTTGTACCATGTTTGATTAGAGAGTGGTTTGTTCCACTATTTTTTAGCATCCAAAGGTTACTGTTGGTTCAGATTCTTCAATGATGTGGCATCAGCTTTCACTTCCATGCTAATGACACAAATTCGGAAACTTGACATTTATTAAGCATAATCCTATTCATAAGCACAAGCCTTGCCACACTGCTTAGATCTTTTAAAAAAATGAATGCAACTTTTTTTTTTCTGTACACAGCTCTTTGATTTCTTTGTAACGTTTCTGAAACTTTGTGTTTGTGTTAGTGAGGGTTCCATCTTTGGTCTTATTCACAGTGCATGAATGGTTCTTGACAAATGGCACACCCGTCAGCTCAGATGTGTTAAGGTGTGACTCAAGTTGCCATCTTTATGTTGATGTTTTTCTCTGAGTTGAGAAGGGTGACCTCAAGGGCTGACCTGTGACCTCTCTCACCCTTCTCTGAAAGCTTCATCAGATGTCACAGAGAAGGTATCAGGGGCAGAAACATGCCATAATTTAACAACAAAGCATTGTTCCTTAAGGTCATTATTGGTGATGGCAGAAAACTGAAGAGAGCAGAAGATAATGTCACTGTCCTTTGAGGTGGACAGTTGCGATTCCTCATTGTCCCTCTTCGAGAAACAGGAGAGCGCTGAAGCAACACATGTTAAGCTGTAAAAGTGTCGGCATGAGTTAAGACCCATTGTGGTAGGGTTCACTTTTGTGTTGCTTTTGTCTCCAATGTTGTACCTCATTAGCATCTGAATACACTCAAGTTGTTGCTTATTGCAGGAAGCAGCTCCTTTAAATCCTAAGGACTGATCCTACACAATTCTGGGACCTGTGCTCAACTCTAAAGGGGCCTGCTGTTGATTTAATACGAGACCCTTTGTAGCTGAGAGGAAACACAAATCTGTTACACTATGATACACTACTGTTGTTTCTTAGATCTTGTTGCCACACATATTATTATGTTTATGTATTAAGCATTGAAATTATTTCAGCTAAGATACATTCTTTGGACTGAACATGATGCTTTTCACTTTAATTGGAGTTTATGTACATCCCAAAAAAACTTTTAGCAGTTGAGTTTATTAATCAGTTTAGAAAAATTATAAAAGTCAGCCTTATTAAAATCCATACCCCCCTCAAACATAGTAGAATTGCCTAGCTTTCTGGTTACGTTTGTGTCCACAATCTGGTTTATATGCCTTTGGCATAACTGTGACTCAGGACCTACACAAATAACACAGAGGGAGAATCACTTCAGAGTTTGTGTTTTCCCTGTTTTGGTCTGTTCATGAAACAAGTCATGTTATGTTCAGCAAAAAATAGTCTTAGCCTCGACTCCTTATAGTTTTATAACTAGATATATCTTGCTATTCTTTAATTTTCTTTAAGCAGTGGTTACCACTCCTGCCTCACAATTCTTAGATGTTGGGTTAGCTTCTGACACAGGGCGTCTTCTTTTTGGAGTTTAATTGTTCTCCCTGTGTTTGTGTAGGGTTTCTTGAAGTTGTAGTTTCTTTCCATGTCCCACAGATACACTGTTTATGTTTGATCAGGGTGAGACTATCATTTGCTCTCAGTACTGTCTATTCCTTCTTCAGGGATAGGCTCTGAATCTGCAGCTTTTTAGTGGCTTTTCTGACCATGGATCTATGAACAGTTGAATGTCTGCTTCATTAATTATATTAATATAATTAAGTAGTTCAGGTGGGTATCTGCGTCAGCATGCGTAGTCTGCAAAGGAACAAGTAATAGGTTTATTCCATGCTGGAAAGAGGAGAGAAAACACAACGTTTCGGCTGTGAAGCTTTCTTCAGGTTAGGGACAGTGGTCATTAGCTACCGCTGTCCCTCACACCTCAAGAAGGCTTCACAGCCGAAACGTTGTGTTTTCTCTCTTCTCTTTTCAGCATGGAATAAACCTCTTACTTGTTCCTTATTATAATGAAACAATAGAATCATATTAATCTCTACTCAGTTATAAGATTTGCCTGTTTCATCACTTCATTCTCAGAAAACAATAAAAGAGTCTATGGCATGATAGTTCATGGTTTTTTCTTCAGTCCTCATTGATGTTTTGAAAGTAAGGCTGTAAACAGTCCGTTTTGACAGGCCTACTAAAGAATCAGTTGAACAGTTTGCCCTGCTGTTGTGGAAGCAATTCTGAGTTAAACCTGGCAGATGGGGTTTAAAGTGCTGACACTGATCAGGACACTGGCTAAGCTTGACGTAGCAGCTCCAGTTCAGAATGAATAAATGCCTAATTATGCTGTTGGGTTAACTTTTGTTGTTACAGTATTTGTGGATACTGATAGAAATGTAGGTGCCACACGTTAAAGGAGTTTTGCTTAAAGACTTTGTCTTGGGACATTTTGTGAAGAATCGCGTAGTGCAAGCATCTTTTCTGGAATTGTTTTTTGTGTCATGGACTGCCCTTGTAATTGTGTGAAGCACTTGTTATAGGACTGAGCTTGAAATGGTCATGATAACTGATGGTCCACTTTTTCCCCACAAACTACCGATGAAGACTATTTGATATTTCAGTTTCCTTCTGTTTTATGGGAAGTGGGTACAAAATGTAATAGCCTCCCATTCAAGCCAGCATGGGCTTTGAGGTAGCAGGAATTTTATTTATTTTTTAATAAAACACTTCCAACTGCAAAGAAAATTATTTATTGCATTGTTAAGAGGACAGTGGTCATTAGCTATCAGACATTGAATACCTAATGAAGACGACTTCTGGTAGTGTCTAAAATATTTTAAAAAGAAACCATATAGGCATTACTAGTTGTATTCATGTTCCCTCCTCAAAGGAGCATAATTTTTAGAGTGATTCACCTGTAGATGTTATTCATGGTCAATGGTGCCACTTTAAAACCTAGCAGATAACTGTTTTTAGGTCTCAGCCTGAGCTAAAGCATTGGTCTGGAAGGTAAACGGCTCTTTGCATAGCATGTCTGAACCACCAACCTTTCATTTGAGACCAATGGCTTATCCTTAGACAACCCTACACTGAATAACCAAGCTTGTGTAATGAGGCAGATAATTGGTGTCCCTTCTCCCAGCACAAGACTGAGCTTTTAGTGCAGTGATTGATCATGACAGCCATACAATTGGGCCTGTTTTTTTTTTTCAGTGGGGTGGCGTGGTCTCCTCTCTGACTCAATGCACATACTCAGGAACTCAGATGGACCCACAACCAGGCTGTAACAGCAGCTGTGTGGGACTTTGTAACTGACACTTCTGTTGGGAGATTTCTGCAATCAATGGACTCTACATGCTTAAGACGAGGTCGTCTTGAATGTGACACCTGTTCTAAGTTACAGTAGCTTCCGCGGTGTCACAGAACATTGCAAACAGTTCTTTCTTGCATTTATGAGGTCCTTGGTTGGAATTTGTGACTTAATGTTAATACAGGAGAGATGTGTATTAAACACTATTTAAACATCTAATAAACACTAAAAAACACCATATCTTCAATGCCATGCAGTTTTGAACATTGCCCTGTATTTAAATCATAACGCCAATTTGAAGTGGATATATATTCATTCACTGTTCTAGTTTTGGGACTGAAATTTTAACAGCACCTTCACAATACTGTGACAAGACAAATGGTCTTATTCCTAATTCAGTAATATCTTTTGTCATATAAGGTGCAAGATTCCAACAAGTTATTCATCACATCCCTTGAATTTTTTTGTTCAGCTCTTGCAGTTTAAGTGATTTCTGTTTAGAGTCATGGCTGACAACAGCATTTTAAGCTTACTCAGCCCAAAAAGAGATACAGTAGCTACACTTTGCAGCTGATAGATGTTCTTAGTTGCACTGGTCAAGTCTTGAGGGATAAACATTAATTTTCCTTTTGCAGAGAACTTTAATCCAGTCTGTCTAGTTTCTTGTTTATCTGATTTTACGTAGCACTTATTAATAGTGCCTTTCACTTTTTGTTGCAGTCATTACACTTTGAAGAGACAATTATTGTTATGCACAGTACACAACCTACTCCAAACTTTCAAAGCAAAAAAGCAAAACAGAAGTAAATAGATATAAATAAAAAAACGGGAAAGTTGTACATGTATTTAGACCCTTTACTGGGGTAAACCTCAATGCATTTAGGAGCATAAAATGAACCCACAAATATTTGAGTGACCTACAGGTATGTCTGTGTACCGTAGTAGTAGTTCTCATGATTTTTGTAAATACACTTATTTCTGTAAGGTCCCTCAATGAATTTCAAGTATACATTAAACTTTCCAAACATCTCAGAGATAAAGGCATAAGTAAAATGGCATAAGCACATATCAGAGACCATTAATATCTCTTTTACCATGGTAGAGTCAATCATTAAGATGCAGGAAACACCCAGAACTGCCTAGATCAAGATGTCCCTCCAAACTGAGCAGTCAGGCAAGAAGGAAACTGGTTAGGGATGCCAGTGTGAGGCCAGCTACAACTTTGAAAGATATTAAGAAAAACCATCAAAGGAGCTTCTGGCATAGTAAATCTGAAAAGAGAGAGACAAACAAGAATTTTATATTAGAGGAAAAAACTTGGGAGAAAGTACACATACGTGATTGCACCTTATGGCTTTAATTTGATGACATAACCAAGATCGACTTCTTCATAAAGTTCTTTATGAAGTCCCAAAGGGTGACAGATGTATTCTGTTTGGATAATTGGCGAATAAGTCCAGTGTGAGTCCAAAAGGGAAAGACAGGGTGCAATCCAAAGTCCAGGTAGCCGGGAGATCAATCCAAGACAAACAGTTAAAAACAGGAACCGGCTCAGAACCAGAAAAGGAACGGGAGCAGGAAAGTTAAAAACACGATGACGAGGCCAGGCGCTTCAAGCCCCGGACCCAGACGGTCAGGACGCCGGGGAATAAGACCTGCCCTTAGGGCTACCTGCAAGCCCGGGGAATGGGCAAGCCTTGTGGCGTCCATCTTCCAATACTATGCCAGGAATAGCAAGAGTGCCAGGCTTAAATAATGTAAAATACGAAAGGGTCGGAGCACCCTTCAGAGGAGGAATGACAATCGTGACAATTGGAAACTGTGCAGTCATATTTTCTACTTTACAGTCCAGAGCAGAAGCATGAACTGTAAACAGGAGACACTTTAAATGGCCAGAGTCCAATGGTGTATGCAGAAGGTTTTATGTATCAAGTGCGAGGACAGATCCACCAACATTAGTGTTCACTCTAAAGCAAGCACCACAATCATTGAAGCTATGATTGTCTGCCGTCAGTCCTGCTGGGCTGTTCATGTTGTCTGATATTGGACTCCAGGGCCCCAAAGAAGGTTATCTTCTCCAAGTTAGGCTTAGGCATTTTCACCAGAGGAAACCAGAAGAAGCTTTTCAAAGATATAGTCAAGTCAAACATGAAGAAATGCAACATTGTTATCAACTCCTGGGAGATTATTGCCGTTGTTCAAACCAGATGGAAGGATATCTGAGAAACTGAGAAACCCAGCACTTTGAGACCTTGCTGGAGCAAAAAAGCAAAGCAAAAATGTTGAAAGAACAAAAACAGCTCAACCTGCCAAAGTGAGCTAATCCTGCATCTTCTACATTATCAGTTGCCTTCATGTTGGTGAAAGACTTCAACCTCAACACTGAGGGACAGCCAATGAGAACAGAGGCCAGGACAACTCTAAAACAATAACTACCCTGGTCAAATTCCCATTCGTACAGAAGAAAATTAGGGGTATTTTTCCATAGGATATTTCAACTCTCACTTACCATGAATAGTAAACATAGTTTGAGCTCTATGATCGCGGTTCAAGGCTGAAACATTTCACTAGCAAGCTGTGACAGAGTGGTGATGCAGACGGATTAGTTGTTCAGCTTTCAGTGACACAGTGGCCTCTGTAGTCTCCCAGGCACTTACAAGCATATAGTGTTGCCACAGGGGAATGAACACGTCCTCCAGCTGATGGTGAGGCTCTGGTAAGGGGCTGTGTATGGCATTTGACATTAAAATAGTGGCTCATTCACCTCTGTGTGCAGTTGTGGGGTATGTGGTGGTGATCCAAAATGGGAAAGCCACACCCGATGGCCGAAACGAGAGGGTATAACAGAAATAAATTTTATGGTGCAGAATATACAGATCTAGCATAGAGGGAGGTTGATGTAGAAATGTTTTTTTTTCACTTGATTTCTTGTTTATTCTTCATCACTTTATTCAGCATCAATCATAACTGCCAAGTTTCTAGCAACAGAAAGTATCTTTTTTACAGACATGTTATTGGTGTAGTTGTCGATTACAATGGATGGCTTTCAGCATCTGTGATATTGCTCCAATACCCATTAATTTTTTCAATAGCACAAAGTTTGAGGAGGAATTGTCTCTTGTCAACAACAAATAATACTCATGGTCCTGTCTGCTAAAACTGTTCCTTCACAGTTTCACTCGACATAGATTGTCAAGAGATGTGTTTCGTACAGAAAATGAAATGTTAATTTAACACTTCTTATCAATGACTGAGTATATTATTCACCAGGAAGTCCCATGGCAACCAAAGGTTATAGTTGATCTTTGGGAAAGTATCATTCAAAGCGAAGGGGCCATGTTTCAGGCTGACATTCAATCCTATGAGCTCTTTTATTTTGCTACTTGGATGGTTTGGCACCATCTGCTGGAAAGAAACATGATGCATCTCTGCCTTTTTTCTGTTTTTGAATAAGCTTGTCACCACAATTAGTGAGCGCTTACTCGCCAAATTTAGCACAGTAGAAGTCCTTTCCCATTTCACAAACAAATTATTTTTTTATGAAACCAAGAAGGGAGTGATTGTCAGTAATTAATTAACTTGGGTAAACAGATGAGAAGATCAGAAGATGTTGTCTGATCTGCTACCAGTGTTGTTTAAAAGTGCAGTCCTGAACTTGAAACAACTGGCTTTTTGGCAGTGTCCTGTTTGGATCGACAGGCCATGCTTTTCAAAGAGTGAGAGTCCATAGCAGAACAAATAACGAACGCATTGCACAGGCTCTTGGCAGTGCTACTACAGTCTATACCACTGACTCAAATGGCGATTTCACACAAAGGTGTTATTTACTACTACTCTCTATTTCAAAACAAGCAAAACAAATTAAAATATTTAAGTTTATTTACTTTTTTATATGACTTTTCTCATGTTTGTAAATGCAGAAAGAAAGCTTTTTTCTTCTAGACTCTCACCTACAGACTACATAAAAGAGCCCAAAAATACAGAACAGGTTGCTTGCTGCCAGATGCAACTGAAAAATTATATTAGAATCTCAAAGATGCAGAAATGAAAACTGCAGTTGAAGCTAACATGTTTTCAATGCTAGAACAGTAAAAAAGAACAGAAAAAAGCTATTTAAAAATTCATGTGGAATGAATACTCAATTTAAAACATAACCAGGAGACTATACACCCATCTTACTTTGGTTAATGATATAATCATGCACAATATTAGTCTTAAAAGAATAAATAAGGAACTCTGATCAGTGTTTAACTAGAAAACTGCAATGGTGCTTTATCTTCTCATCCTTTCTACCCTCAGGTGCTCTCAGTGATGACCCCCACTTCCCCAAGACACAGTGGCCCACCCCCAATCTGTGCCCAGCGTGTCACGAGGAGAAAGATGGGCTGCACGTGTGGAATGAAGAAAAAGTGTTTCATTTCTTGATGGATTATTACGGGGCAGCCAACATCTCGCCCAAATATACCCTTAGTCAAGAGGGACCAGCGCCCGGCAGAGATGGCCCCTCTTATAAGGACAAGGGCCAGCAAGACCAGCAAGATATCCCCACCACCAACCCCTCTGATCCGTCAAACCAGCGCAGCCTGGTGGGTCAGGAACAGGGGGGCATTGGGGTCTACAAGGAGGCCAAGCCAGGGGTGACTTTCCTGGGCCTTGGCTTCTCCAACATTGACATGAGCCTTTGTGTGCTGCTCTACGCAGCCTCCTGTGTCTTCATCATGGTCATGTTCTTCTTCTTCCGGATGCGCTCCAGGAGGTGGAAGATCAAGCACAATCGACCCTACGTATAGTCGACAACCGCTAGACCTTTGGGATGCCTCCCCTTTGTACGGTGGTTAAACACATGAACCGATTGGAGAAAACTGCTCGATTTTTGGGAAAAGGCCCATGTTTACAGATGAAGGAACTTTCAGAAACCCAGATGTCATTTACCGTAGTGTGATCCTTGTTTTGGAGTCAACCGTCAGGCTCAGCTTCGCGTTTTACCCCTCAGAATGTCGGCACCTTCCCCACCATGGCGATCCCAGGAAAAGATTTGTCCAAGGGTAAAGACGTTTCCACATCACTGGACGTTAAATTGGGAAAGCAGATCTACAGAAGCAAACCTTTCCTGACATTTTCTGGGAAGCCTCAGTGGTTTATTTAAATCTCTGAATTTAGGTTTCTCTCTACTAGAAGTGATCACTTCCTGGTTTTAGTCCTGGTGGGCAAGCTTATTACTTGCCCGTTCTTCATCCTTGTGATTTTTGTTGTCTGCGGCATTTGGAACAGTATTACCACAGTAACCAGTCTAATCATATAAATTCCCACTACAGCCTCCCTGCTCCTGCCATAATGTTCTTTATCCACTGTTTATTGTGACTTGCAACACACTTCACATTGATTCGTGAAAAGCAGCAGGTCCCTCACCTAACATGCAGAATGAAAAACACTGAAACTGAAGGAATATGCCCACTTTGTGTGAATCCTACCAGTTCTCCATAGAATTGTGTGGGATTTTGTTTTTATTTCAATATCATATATTTGAAGATGTTTCCCACGTTTTTGAGTGTCTGTGCTCTAACAATGATCTGAATACAGTGAGTTCGCTTACAATCTGGTTAATTCTTTTAGGAGTACTGTTAAATGCCCAGGACGGGGCCTACAACAGTAATACAGTAATAGGTGATTTTTTAAAAAAATGTATAGGAGAAATGGCTCCGTCTTGTTTTCTGAGCTCAGATGTTATGGCCATTCATTGGACTTTGGAGAACTGTCTTTTTAATCAAAACGAAACAATTCTATGTCTCATCCTGTCTGACATTAAATAGTCAGAATAACCAGATATCCAATCAATTTAAAATAACGAAAAGGAGGAGGGTGCTAAAAAGTCCTTCTTTTTCAAGGATCTTATAGATTTCAAGTTAATATCGAGCAGTTCAAGCCTTTAGGAGGGTACAGTGTTGAGCTGGTTTTCTTATTTAGTTCAAAATGATTACGATGAAGACTGACAGCAGAGGAGTGAAATCTGCCGATACAGACATTTCCACAGCTATGGACTGTATGTGAAACATCATAACAAAGCGTCTAGTTGTGTATTGTTATTTTTCTAGCTCAACAAAGGTAAAAATATTTCCATGGAATAAAGCGCGACATCTCTTACGCTAGGCACAAAAGGAATTGTGTGCTGTGCATGCAAAAACAAATCCTTATGAAGTATTTTATTTTCATTGTAATTTTAATGGTTGTTTAGGAGGTGCAATTATAGTTTTTAACTGACTTTAGGGTTGAATTTTGTGCATCCTGTTTGTGTGTGTGACTTGGACACATTGTTGACTGTGTCTGTTTCTATGTAACTCTCACAAACTACAGTACTCTACTGGTTTGATCATGTTTCTTATTCTTCAGCTGTGTTTGTCGCTTGAGTTTTTTAAGATGGTTTCTTGGATCATGGGACAATTAGATGGAAGCTGCCTTCTTTTCTCATTCCAAATCCTTTCAGACATAATTTTATGCTGCTTATTATGTTGGATTGTCAAAGCTTCATTTTAAGATTTACATAATACCACTGTCACTTAAAAGATGGTTTATGTTCTTTTCATCAGTGTGGAAGTTCATCTTAAAGCAGTTTGGTAAGGGGCCTGTTTAGACATTGTCATGAAAGCTTATTAGGCATGTGTATACACAGGTTTCCTGTTGAAAGAATTGAAAGGTTCTCCAATCTGAATCCAAACCGTGCGTCTCCCCTATTCTATGGAATTAGATTTCTGAAACCTGGAGTGGAGTGAGCGATTAAGATCTCAGGTTTGAGCCCCGAGTTGTTGGGACAATTTTTTATTCCTGTCTTTGAAAATCCCACCTGGAACTCATGTAGTGACTGCCCAAGATTAAAGAGATTATTGTTATCTTGTAAGATTATTGGGAATTATTGTTAGTACACATATAAAGGTGGTCTCTACACTTTTTGAAGTATTTACACGCTGAAGCTATAAAGCAAAGTATAAAAAAGAGTGGAGGTTGACTATAACTTCCATTGATCTGTTCCTTATAAGGAGAGGGTTAATTATTCTTTGTCAGTCTGAAGAGAAAAACGAATTTCATTTTACTAGTGGAATTTGTAAGGGGCCACATTAAAGTGGCCTGTTGTGCTGCTGAAAATAGCTGTATTGGAATTCATTTCTGTTTTTTTTTGTTTGTTTTGTTTTGTTTTTCAAATTTAGAATTCAGCATTATATACTGTATGTGAAAACTATATTTTTGACACTGTCACAGTTTGGTTTCAGAATTAAAAGCAATGTGAACATTAGTGGTCTCTCCACTTATTTTTGCTTCCAGGCTTCGCAAACAAAAGCTAGTGGAGTGAGATTTCCCAGTTTCTTGTAGGTAACTTCATTAACTGCAATTTTTCTAAACATTTGCAGTGTTTCAGTCTGCTGATTATGGATTCCTTTAGTTAGCATCTTCCTCTGCAAATAAAGCATTCTGTATAAAGGATCAATTAAGTGAACTATCAAGTAAATTTTCCTGCCATAGAAAATCTAATGCTGTTATACTCTTATGTAGCAGCATAAATATTTGATGTGTTTACTTTAAGACTATCTAATGGTAACACCAACAGTAAAATCCTTTTACTACAGAATGATGTGAATGCTTCATATTCCACAACAAAGCCTTACTGTGATTATTGCCATCAAAAGTAATTCATTTGCCGGCTTAATATCAATTGTTAAAATTATTTCCACGACTATGAAAAGTCAGGGTTTTGTGCCTAATTATGAACATACGGGCAGCATGTTGGGTTGCATCCAATCAAACGTCTGTGGGTGTCAGATTCCATTTCTGCTCATTTGAAAGCACAGCAGCCCTATTGTAATACAGGCTCCTGCGGTCTTGATATGTCATGGCAAAGGTGTCTACCTGAAGCTATGAGTGGCGGAATTGAGTGAATCTTAGCTGCAAGTGTGGAAGTTCTCAGGAAAGAAGACATTTTCTTTGGGAACAGCTGTCATTTTTTGAAAAACCATTACTTTAAAACCACAGACGCTAAGAGTGCACTTGTGTCAATGCAAAGCGGAGCAGTATGCCCAATCAGGTAGAAGGATGAAAACAGATGACACATATGGAAGCTGCACTTTGAAAACCTGCTAGTGTCACGATCCAGCTTGAAACTTTGTCTCTTAGTAACACGGAGAGTGCAGAACAAGAACAAGGGGCTTTTAAAACTCTCTGCTCCTTTCACTGGAACTGGCAAATGCCTATTAGATGCAAACTGCAAATGAGTCTTAAAAGCTTTGCAGTCCATGTAGGTACTGCTAGCCACTCTGGCATAAATATTCATTGTGTTGAATGTCAATAACACTTTCAAGAAAAGCCAAGGAGACAGAAAGCTTATATTTGCTCTGGACTGCAGAGCTGTAGAGATGAAAAGAGACCTTCAAGCAAACGAACAAAACTCTTCAATGGAGTATAAAAATGAGCCTCAAGTGACACTTGGATTTCAAGAGCCACATGCGTCAATGTTTTTGCCCCCACTTCCCAAATCGTCTCTCTGAAGTTAGACCTTCCACTCTGAAGACTCACATGCGGGTTTAAATGCCATAGGCTTTGTTAGCAACTATTTCAACCTGATTGCAATGGGTCTCTGAAGTGGGCCCCAGATGTGTCAACACTTAACCAATCTTCTCAAGTGGCAAGAACAGTATAGCTGCCCGCACAATTTGAAAGACCCAAAAATTGAGGGCAGATTACATTTTTTTTTTAATGTTAGTGCTTATTAGCACTGAATTTCTGGTAAACGTTGCTTGTTTTTTTTTTTTCTTTTTAGATTGTCATTTTAAAACTAACGAAAGACAGAATTTCTTCCTTACTTTTTAAAATGAGAATTGAAAGAATTATTTGTAATATAACAATTACCATTCCTTCTCGCTAGCTGTCCCTAATTCGCAAATTATTGGGTTTGTTCCGTGCACTGCAGGATCGGAGTCTTTATCTGGGATGGAGGCCTTGAGCTTATCCAAGAAGCTGGAATGGGGGAATCTTCATGTTTCATGGGTGTTCGGAGTTCGTCAGAGACCGCGAGAAACATCTGTAGGAAAACAGACTACAGTGCGCTTGCAGTCCTGTCACTTAAACCGCGTGGTGGTTGTAAATGAATCTCTGCGCAATTCAGAGAAACACAACACAATAAATGCTGAGCCGAAAGAAGGTATTGTACGGCGCTAAAATTAAGAAAAAATAATGTTTTCAGATGATGGTTGATGTCTGCTCGTATACAGGTGCCTCAAAAATAATCGAAAAATAGATTTCATTATTGAAATCTGTGAAGATTGGCACAGAAACTTAGTTAATATTTACAGATTTCAATTAGTATTCTTACGGAACAAGTCCTCAAGAGGATAAAAATACTGTACATCAATATCAAAGAACAGCATTTATAACAACACATACAGTCCTACTTCAGAGAAAGCGGTGTTCTAGAGCGATCCTGGAGTCTGTTTTTGTCTATAAGCTCCTTTGAGGCTGTTTGGTTTTAGAATCCTAGTTATGTGGTTCCTTCCAGACTTGTCGTTTGTCCTTATAATCTTTATCAAAGAGATCAGACTGACTTATTGATGGAGGATTAAGGCTAATAGCCACATCGTCTTCAGTGATGAAAACAAGTTTCACAATAAATTCGGACATCTATGCTAGAAATCTATTGTAATCATTCGACGGTATCCGAGTTGTTTAGGATCCTAACGCGTACATATCTTCTTATATTAGTCTTTTTTTTCTTTGTTAGGCATTACAAATTTAAAATTCCCCAAATGCAAAAAACTGCAATCAGGAGACTTTTGTTCGGCATATTTTTCTCGTTATTCTTATTATTGTTATAATCGTTGTTGTTGTTGTTTGTACTACAGGCAAGAAGCGATGACTAATGAACGAGAAAAATGCACGAATTTAAGTCTTTTGATGTTCACATTAATTTATAGACCCAGTGAAATAGCATTATTTTCACGTATTTAGCTCAACTAATTAAATTACTTGTAAAATCAAGTTCTATACAATTTGAATGTTTTTTCAAACCCAAGAAACAAGTACTTGCAAATAAGGTTGATTGTGTTAGAACACTATTATTGTTTTTTTTGTCTTCACGTTGCTAAACTATTACACTATGTACATTATTTTTGCAAATGACTTAATATCAGGCGAGTTTGTATAACATACAGTGTATGTTCACTTTAACAAGGATGGTGTACTGTATGCACTAGTATTATACAGTTTACTATAATGTTATTAAAAAGATAGCAAACTACATATTTGTAAGAAAATAGAAAGTGGTTAATAAAAGTGAAAACTATTTTCCCTAAAAAGTGAAAACTGTCCCTCCACGCCTCCAGGCCAATTAAAGAAATTATTCCTCATAAATATGAACTAGTGGTAGCCTCAATAAAAACAAAATAACGCTAGGTAGGGTATTTCATTTATTGCAATTTATGATTTTAACCCCTAACGTTAATTGTATAAAATGTCATAATGAGGAAAAAAATGAAAGAATACGCTTTTTACGGCATTTATTTCTATTATAAACGTAACGTAGGAATGCTATACACTGCACATACAGTAGCACAGTAGCTAGAAGATGTTTCCTTCTATGTTTAGGTCTATATCTGTTCTAAAATAAATTTTAGGCATCAAATCTGATAAAAACGATACGGAAAACAAGGCAGTGACGATGATTACGTTTGAGAAATAAAATGCATATAAAATGTATAAAAAAATGAATTAGTTCAACTGAAGTACGCATACTGTATGCTTTGGCTGTTCCGCGTCCTGAAGGTGCGACGTTGCTCTGTTATTTTCCAACAAGTGAAAATTCGGTCACCTTACTTTTGTAAAGTGATTTAGACATATGTGCTGACAGTCCGTCTTTAAAGTGCTTTTATTAATTTGTAATCCTCTCGGATTAGGTTTAACCGGATTCATTCCGATTAGTGGCTCGCAGTAACTAACATTAATTATCGCCTGAAACGGAGATTTGGATTTCCTTCCTCTGGCAGGCAAACTTCCAGGATTCCTGTCCGAAATCACAGTCTGTAAAATGTTGGGTGAAACGTCTTAAATATTAGAGGAACCACAAGCTCGGCGCCGCTTTGCAAACACTTTGCTCATAGACAAGTGTATGCAATTGCACGCTGTATGTGTTTGGGGTAAATTGTAAAACCCTACATTGGCTTCATAAATGAATCGTTTCTTCTGTACCGGTTTGTCGATATACTACTGTATGCCCTCGCCCGGCCATCATTCTTGTATACAGCAGATGTAAATTATTGTACAGTATGTACCGTGTATCTGCCGCATCTGCAGTGTCTTTTTAACGAAGAATGCCCAATATCCATCCCCACTGCAGTCAGATGAAGATGTTATTCTAAAGGAAGATTTATAATAATTGTGTAATGACCATTTAAAACTGCAGATTGACGTAACCCTGATTTTTAGGAGGATTATACGTATGAATACGTTGTCTTACTCAATGCTATAGCGCTCTGAATTCTCACACCCCAGTAATTAACCCACCAGCCAGAGCCCTCCAGTGACCAAAGAGCACCCTGCCGCGGGCAATCGTTATTCGAGCGGTAATTTTGGCTATAACAACCAATAGATCAATTCCATGTTTCCCGCTTTATTTTTTACGTAGCTGATGAGTTGAAAACTAATGCCAAATGTATAAACGCAGTCATTTTCATCCATTATCCCGACGCGTAAAGTTCGACAACCCAGAAACAGACCTTCAAGAGCCGGTCGCAAGGCGTGACGTAAAACGCCTCAATACACTCAAGTATTTACACATTTCAGAACATTTAAATATTTACATTCCACTTCACGTAACTCTTTTTGTCCGCATGCAATGTATTTAAAACTGGTATGAGCCCTTGTGTTCATCAGTCTTGAACAAGTTTACCATTTAATTCTGCTATGGTGATCAAACAAATCGAGTCCAAACATTGAGAAAACGAGGTAATAGTCAATTACTGTATAATAGCACGATGTTTACTAGTTTAAGCATTAATATATATATATATTAATGCGTCATCAAAATCCATGGCGGTTTTGTTTTGAATCCATGTAATCTTTTAACTGATAAGAAGACAGAACATTTCGGTCCTGAAAGATTCTGATATTAGGTAAAAAACTAAACGTCTTTCTTTAAAATCTTTGTAGCAGTTACTTCCACAAATAAGCTTCATTTTTACTCTCCCCCCTCCATCCACCCAACCCCCCCAACTCGGTGGCAAATTTTACTTTTGTTATAGGGAACAAAAGGAGAACGGGGGTGTTAAACGATTTTTTTTTTCCTTTTTCTCATGACTACAATGTCTGGACGCGGGCTGCCTAGTATCCTATTGTGTACGGTGAAAGACAGACACGTGTATATTATATGTATTGGGGCACGGCAGGGAACAAAACAGCATAAACACGCCTCCGGCATCGCGTCTAGCTACTCCCCTTCAGCACCACGGACAGGGCAAAATGTCAACAGCGCCGCATCCCCGCTCGCCGCTTTTGTTATGTTAAAGACCGGTACTCCTAGCAACTCTAGGTCAGCTGACGGTATTAATTGTCGCTGTAGGAATCCCCGTCTTCACCCACGGAACAAAACAGCTAGTTACACTGTAGCTTTCTAAAAGTTGACATCTCACCAGGAAGCGGCGACTTTGACGTCTGTTGTGTACACTGATTTTAATTCGCCGATCCGAAAAATCTGAGGCAAACCCTGCCTTTCCTTTTCGTTATCGCCCGCGAAGCCGCTTTGAAAATTAGCGCTACAGTTTGTTTTGTTTGGTTGTGTGTTTTTTTTTTACAGTTAGTGTATAAAAGGCGCGTTAGTCTTTTTTTTCTCCTACAAGCCGTGCCTTTTGTTTCAAAATACCTTTTACGGTTGATCACAGAACACCTTCCGTATGCATTAATTTCCATTTTAAACCTTGCCACTTCGACTAAACATGTTGCTTGAACACTCGGGATCAAGCTGTCAGAATCACAGTAATTTATCCAGATACAATTCCAGCCAAGGTAAGAAATATTATTTTATTTCTTAGGTTTGACATTGCTTTTGAATTGTGCTTGAGTCCTGTTAACCGTTGCTTCCTTTACTTTGAGTGTCTAATTGCTGATTTCACGCTCTTTAACTACCTTATGTTCGTCTGCTGGGCATAATTCGCTGTGGAACAGTACCTGTTACACTCCCTACATCGAATAGTCTTTATAGGGATTAATTTCAAAGCCATATAAACACAACTTATTTTAAACGGTAGTATCTGAAGTGCTACTTATAGGGATTATTTTTAGTGCCATATAAACACAGCTTCCTTGAAACTATCTGGTCAACTTGTTTTAAATGGTAGTCTCTGAAGTGCACCACGGTGAAAATAATGTGTTTCATGTGATTTATATATGAAGCCATTTTACTAGTCTAATGGGAAAAAAAAAATGTTGTAATAATGTCTAGACACTTCAATTATTTCTTTAGATTTCACAATGGCAAAAAGGTCTCATTGCTTAAGGTTATAATTTCTTTAAATACTGGTACGGTAGATGTCGAATTATTTTAAAAGCGATGAAAGCAAAAGACCAAGCGGTTTACGACTTGCTAACGAGACGCATTGGTCCGACAGAGGGGCAGCTACGTTTTCTTTTCTTTCTTGCCCAGTTTGTAGCGGACGTTATGAATATGTAATGAGCTGCATTGTTAGTAAATGATATGAACAGATGTTAAGCGCGTGCTGTCATTTCACACCATTATTCATCGCTATTGTGAGACCACCGGTACACTCCGGGCCCCCGGAGTAAGACTGCACTCCGGCGGGACCACAGCGCAACAGCCTGCCTGCCCTGAGATGTGCACCACACACTTCATTGCAAAACTTCCAGATCTCGTCTTCTCACGACAGGTGCTGCACCTGAGATATTTGAACATAAAGGACGTCCCCGTGGATCGGTCACAAACAGTCACCGAGAATGCAGGGGTGAAAAGCATGTTATATGTTGTATGTACATTAGCAGGCATGTTAAAAAAATAAAACATTCCTGCTAATGTACATACAGTAGGTACTTGCAATCCGAAATGAATTGGGAGGAACTGTAAAAGCAATTTAAAGGTTCTCTGGTAAAGCGCTGACTTTTAGTGGTAGGAAACAAATACACTTCAATAAGTAACGGTGTTCCTGAACGCAAAGCACCATGAAAAGTGTTAAACAGTAATAGTATACAATTTCCATTCTTTTTTTCGAGCAACAAATTTAATATTGACTTAAATACAACTTAGATACATTCAAACTATTAACCCAAATCGATTTTAGTACTCATTGCTGGGTCCTGGTAATCATTTCAGTGCATTGAAATATTCATTTTTGCATCAAACCATTAAAATGTCTTTTAAACTCAGTTTCCAAACTGGAGGACGTCCTGCGGTGGACTATGATTCGCTTACCGCTTTGTTAAATCGAAGATGATTGTAGTTTTCCAACAGGCAGTTAATTCAAGAACATTAGTCATTCATTATTTAACATCATCAACCCTGGAGCACTAACTTGCAGCTTGGTATATATTGGTTTATTTACCCACGGTTCACAGTGGTCTTAATGAACTCAAGGTGAATTATGACAGCAACAACAACCGATTGATAATATAGGTGAGAATTATTTGAAAATATTAATTTCTTAAAATCATGATAACACGATATACTGTATTTATACAGAAAACGTAGTATACAGACCTCCGTGTTTCAATTCGATTTTCTAGTTCAAAGTAACGTAAAATAGTAATTTACAATATTCAGTATCCAGATATAGATATTGCTTGAGCTAATAGGATAAAAATGGAAAATGAACAGTTTCCGCCTGATGAGTCAATTTGTGAAAAGCCCGTTAAGACCCAGCAGTTTCTCTGTGGATGTCCCTCACTTTTTTTTCAAGGCCATAGGCGCCGCTCATTTTATTGCGCTTCTGTCGCCCGGCCACTCAAAAGTGCCCGATCAATAACGCATAAAAAAATATTATTAAAGCTTAAAAGTAAGGAAGAACATTGAAACATTACGCACCTTTCACCAAAATGTGTTTCGCCTGCTCTGAAAACGCAGGCAAATGGGGCATTGATTCTGAATTCATCAGAGAACCCGGCAGCGGTACCACTACGCCTGATTTCCCAAGGCGCCCTTTTGCACTAAGGATCAGTGTCAATAAAATTTATCTGGGTGTTGCCTCGCTTAACATTTTATTGAGCGGCCCATCTTTCCCAAAGCAAACAGTTGTCTTTGAGAAGTCATTGCATAGACCTAGCGACGCGCCTTCATTCTGACCCTCACGACTTCTCTTACTAAAACCTATTTACCGATCCTACAAATGCGACCTGTTCTGACTGCTGCTCTTGTGACGCCTGTCGTGAGCGCCTTTTATTTCTTGATCTTTGTTTCTAGACACAATTGCTATTGTGCATTGCCTCGCAATGTTTGTAACATGAAGACTTTGATACGGAATACGCCTTTTTATTAAGAATGAAGTTTCTTACCTCACGAACAATTTAAATAATGTATGCCACTCGGCAAAATCACTCGGCAAGAATCCCTCGACTAGAATCTGCAAGCGTGTAGAATGTTTCTGATGATTACTGCTTTCGCCTTTCTTAAGTTATTCAAATATATATATATTGATCTAAACTGTATTTTCGTTGCGATCTGGAAAGAAAACAAGTATTTAAATATAGGACTTTTCTGAAGACCAGTTAATCCTACATATCTGGTCTCTTGCTCTTTGGAAAAGTGATTAAAACAGAGTTGTATCTTTCAATGTAAAAATAAAATGTACCTCAGCAAACATAAGGACATGTGGAAGAGCGCTACAGTTATCCCCAGACCCAATAACACCTCAAGCATATACGGACTTGACAAAAATTCGGTTTTCTAAAATGCATGGCGAAGAACAATGCTCATCCCATTATTTTTTGGATGAAATAGATCGGTAGTAATCAAATAATAAAGATATTGCCTCGTGTATATTTCTAAAATGAATTTAAAAATGGAATGAGAATTTAAAAGCGACGCTTTAATAATGTATACCGTACATCATTCCCTTTTTGTCAAATGACTTTTTTTGATCAATTAACAGATATTAAAGCCATTTTAACGGTATAACGGCGGCTTATCAGCAGGTACATTTTGAAAATTATATTTCTCCTCCATATTAAATGTACACACACCGTTCGTTTTAAAGCATTTCGATTTTTGAACGTCCTGAGATGTTTGTGTGTACTCGGGTGTAGCACTACATACTTTTTTTTGCATTCCAAGACAGCTCCGCATTATTTGTGATATGGGTCTTCGGCTTCTCGTGTTTACTGAAATACTAAAGGATTTAGATGTTTTAAAATTACTTACTTGTCACATTTAGCTTAATTATCCTCAAAGAGTTATATAAATCCTGGACCCAGTTCAACGGAAAAAGTAATTTGGTACAGAAGAAAAGTGTTTATTTACAGAGCGGCACTCTGAGCTACTCTGAAAAGCACCGAATTTATACTACCTTGTGGGTAACTACAATTAAAATGAATTACTTGTCAATATAAGTAGATATTTTATTGTTACCATAACGTACAGTAGTCTGACACAAATCTCATTTACCTGTAGGAGTAGTGCTTGGGGCACAAACTAAAACTTTAGAAGTGTTTTGGAGGAACTATTGCGATTTTAAAAACGCGAACATTAGAAACTGAAATTAAATTAAGGGAAATTTACTTTTTAAGTCAACGAATCAAAAGTGTAATAATATTTTCGATTCATATTCTAAACCCTACAATAGTTATCAAGATCTTGCTGCTACTACTAACCCTAAGATCCTGCTGGCTTTTTTTTCCCCCAGAGAACCGTATATTTTAAAATATTTTAATAGTTTTATTTAACGTTATACAGCTCCTAACCGTCCACGGGTGCATGCCTTTCAATCTGGTTTTTATTTGCGTTATGTGTTTTTGATCCGTGATAACGAGTCTATTATAAAATCAGAGAAATATATTCAATGACTGTATTTTTGCCTAATCTTTATGCAGCCTAAATAATGGTTTTTTTTTTGTTAGTGAAACACCCTACGTGTAAGTGAGCGTTAAAGAATAACGAAATCTCAAGTTGTTTAAAAGACTTTCACACAGGAGTCAACATTAGAACACGCGAATTTTTTTTTTAAATACCTAGGTTTCTGTGTATCTTCTTACTGGGAAAAATCGCTTGGTGACCCGTTATTAAACTATTCGCTTAACCATAACAGTATTCCCGGCATCATACTAGTTGCATTTTTGCCAAATGTGCTCCCGAGAGTCGTCTGGGAGCGCTCAAGGTGATAACAGTACACCTGCACCGCCTCGCCCTCACTGCCCGGTCTCTAGGGCAACCAGGCGGCGCTCTCCGCTCCTGCGCACTCGGGTTTCTGTACTCGAAGCACCAAAACGCTCCACAGCTCGGAGCCCTTCGCGTTTCCAGAACGTCTGGCGCGCCGTTGTGAATCACACATTAATGTGAAGCTAGAAGACACCACAGAAGTTTTTTTTTTAATTCTTCTTCTCAACTGGCCCTGATTTTTTTTTTTTTGTTTCTGCCCTGGAAGTGGATATAATGCGAAATGGATGTGCTTAACGACTTGAACGCTCCAAAAGAAGCCCCCGGTAATACGGATATGCTGTTTGCCTTGTTAGCACAGAACGAAGAACTACGTAAAGGTATATAATAAGACAGTGATTTGTTTGAAAATAGTCCGAGGCTCTTCGCAGGATGAAATGTCAGAAAACCTCTTTTCTTACAAAAGATGCCAAGCCCGAAAAGTGAACGTGTTCGAATCTTGTTTCTTTGGTGATGGGAATATATGCATACATACCAAACTATAACAGATTTGGAGGCGCTTCCGTAGAATTAAAAAAAAAACTCTAACTCTTCTAGATTATATTCTCTCACGGATGGTTACGAAACCCAGTGTTTTGGATGCCTTCACTTTGTTGTTATTTAAGTAAAATGCTTCATATACAGTACATATTTAGTGTTTCTTGAAGTAAATTTGTAAAGGATGCGTGTCTGCAATTGTTATCATCTGAGTAGTTATTGATCAGTTTACATTAAAAATTGCAATGGGACTTTTTATTAACAGTGGATGCTGCAGTCTAAGTACACTAACGTCGTTATCTACAGTACCATCACCCGAGTGAGCTCCGTTTTACTCGATGGGTACCTACACTGCGTGTCTGATGATTCTTCTACAGATTTCCTTGCCTCTAATACTCTTCGCTCTCTTATCTCTGCTATACACTGGATTACGGATAAGATTGAAAGGCGCAGGATTAGGGACAAGGATGGTAGATCTGCGAATTGACATATGTCTCATCTTTTTATTCTTGTACTTCTGCTGCTTGCTTAAAAATGATTTTCAGTCTTTTCAGCTGATAACCCACAACTACCCACTGACATTGCATGAACAAGGGTGTGTTTCTTCAGTCAATTTAATAGGATATATACCCGTTGAGTTCAAGCACGACCATGTGAACATAAGTGGATTGATCAAGGGACATGACGTCTGATTTTCAAAGGTTTATTACTGTTTGTGTTTGACCATTTAAGTAAATAAACACAAACACATTCCAAGTAAATAAACACACCAAAAAAAATTAAAAACGCTTAAGCACACAATTCTACACGCGCATGTTGGAAACACATAGTAAGAGCTCATGTCTGCTTCATTCAACATACGTAACATTGAGTGATGTTTAAAACTTTCTTTCGTGAGTTTCGAACATTATATTCTAGTTTTACAAGGTGCTCTGAATAAATTATAAGAGCTCACGGCACCTGTTCATGACGTGGCTTTAGTAGCTATTTGTAGCTGGGTCGATAGGCCTGCCACAGAAAACTTCGCATTCATTTTTTATTGAAGGCCCACAAAACGAACAAAAGGAGAACCATTCCTTCATTAGACGAAGAGCTGAGGGCCCGAGTTCATTAATCAATTATTTACAGGTAATACCTGTAGGCTGCTCCTGCATGGCGCCCTGCGGCTAGTCTTAAGAGATCCACAGGCCAAGTCGTTGTTTAAAACAACCAAACGCCATTCTAACATTATAAATTGTCGAAGAAGTGCTACAGTAACATCCATTAGGTTTGACACAAAGTATATGTAACGTGAGTTACAGTATAACGTGAAGAGTACGTCTACAAGAGATTTGGGTTATTTGACGTTTGCATTAATTTTAATAATCTAGAACCTTAAAAACCTGTCATGCTCTATACATTTGGGCTATTGCATAACAAAAACAGTAAGAGTCGCGATAGTGTTGGTATTAACAGTAGCAGTGATCGAGCAAAGCAGAAATAGCTTATTGTGTCTATTGCACAAAGTGACATTATATTTAATTCATTGCTCTATTTTAATATTTTTATAGTCTGTGTCCTGTGGAGAAACTGTTTCCAATAATAAAAAAAACAAATGAATTTTGTTTTATAGAAGAGCTCACGATGTTACAGCTGTTTTTAAGCTTAAAACACATGCAGAAACCTGCACTGAAAAGTCTGTAGATCCCGAAGTGAACTGAAAAGCTTGGGCGAATGTTTTCAACATGATTCAACAACATGCAACACAATATGCGTGTCTTTGCAGCAACAATATATGTAACATATATATAATACATGTTTTCAGACAAAAACGTCTGAAATACGCAGGTCTCTTCCGTTTTTAGGATGTACATCCTACTTTTTTTCAAAATTATATATATACTTGAATTTAAATGTAAAATGGGTATTATTCCATGTAGAGCCTCTTTAAAAATAAAAATAGATGCTACAGATTAGGAAGCGGATGGATGGTTATTATTATTTCCTGGAACAGCATAATTCACCCAGGGGTGTTCAGCAGAATAAAGTCGCTTATTACCTGGGTTTTTAAGTTTCACGAAATAAGATTGTTTAAACAACAGATCAAGCACCTTGTACTTCCTTGTTCTATCCTACACGCCTATTCTATGGAGATGAAATGTAAAATATAAGCAAGCGGCAGGCTTTGGCCGATAATGATTGGCCGAGGAACTGCTGACTTAAGTCATTATAGGCTCTTCAGTCGTCAGGGGATTTGTCTGGTTCGGTTCCAGAAGGCACTAAAGGCACGACCGTGCTTGATCCTCAAGTTCTTGGGCAGCCTGGAAGCGTGCATGTGGAGGAAGAAGATCGCGCCATTTTACAATTGGCCCCGAAGGGGTGGTCTTCCGGCACGGGAATTAATGGAGACTCGGGCCATCTTATAATCAGGAGAGGAGAGCGGCTCTCGAGTCACGATTGCTTGGATTTCAGGATTTCAGATCACCTGCCGCTGGTCACTATGCAGAGTAAGAGCCATGTTCTTAAGAGTCTGCTCAAGAGAGTCGGACTAATTGGGGCAGAAGTGGGAGGGTAGAAGGGGGGGGTGGGTGTTCCGTGTGACATTGATTTTTTGGGGGTAGTAGATGTTGACATTAAATTAAGAGATTATACCACAGCGTGTTGTGATTGATACATCGCGATTCGCAAATATTCCTGGAGATTTATTTGTGTCGGAATTGTAGAACGGCGGAAAGGGGTGGTGGTTTTGTCTGGTTGTAGGGTGTCGGAGAAAGCGCCGTGTGTCCGGTCTTGACACATGTTCTGAAACTCTTGTAGACCAGTATGGGTTGCCTTCCTTGGAATCTCACAATAGTGGGCAAGTCTTTTGGCTCTTTGTTTTTGAAGTAATTCGCAGAACCAGTATTTGAAAACGAAATGAACTCGATGTATATTGATCTAAACTGATGTATCTGATATTATCTGTACTAATCCGGCTCTGGACATCTAAGTTTCAGTTTTGTGGGTGTTTCGTATTTACTTCTACAACTACTTCTGCAACAAAAGCAGCAACAACAACAAAGGCAACTGCCACTACTTATACTACTACCAATAAAAATAAAAACAAGAATTGTATTATAAACAAACACACGTATTACTTAAAATGTATTACATGGCTTTGCAGTGATTTAAAGTTTTGTATTTACATTATAAATTCGAGTCAATAATTGTTCCCGATGTTATATAAACAACAGTAATAGTATACTAATATATACTATAAGACGTTCAACCATGTATCACCTGTACTAAAACGAATACTTCCCACACAAGCACCACAGGTTTCCAGTTACAGGTGAACGCATGAAAAAGCATTTTGGCCAAAAATTAACAGTCACATATTTTCAATGTATGGAAAACCTTTAGATACACACCAAGAATTCCTATTCTTTCAATGTGGATGTGGATGTGATGAATATGGTGTATTGTGTTTAACAAGTTTGTTCACTTATTGCAAACCTTACTATTCTTGTTTTAATATATACGATATAATATTGTAAATACTAATAATAAGAAAGACTGTATTTCAGGTAGTACTACTGTACTACCGACTAGCAGTAGTTGTCATAGATACCCCCGCAATTCTGTATTTTAAAATGACAGTACATGCGGCATATATCAGTTCTGCAAGTGCACGTATTTGTATTTCATTGTTAACAAGTATCATCTAACAGATTCCGATAAAAAAAATCTGTATTGTTTTAGTTGTGAAAATCCGAAATGCAGTAAAAATATTTTGTTTTTCTTTCACTAACGTCCTGAAGGTATATGAGTTATGATGTTTTTATGCAATCAACCTTAGTTTTTTTTACAATATGTACTGTATTTAGTAACTGGAGATGTTATGATTTTTTTTATGTTTTTATGAGATTTTAATTCTACTGTAGGTGAGATAGTTTAGAATTTTTACCGAGGCAGAAAGGATAACATGAATACGTAAAACGGCACTTTATTTTCTCGTTACCTAGAGCTCGTTTACTTTATAGTGATTTGCAGCAAACTGCAGCCTAATCCGGCAGGCACAGGGCGCAGACGGGACTATTCCAGTCCAGTACAGGGCAAACGCAAACAGGACACTTCAGATACCAATTAACCTTTAAAATGGAAACTTAAACGAAGCCGTTTGTGCTCCTCAACGAGTAAAACGAGATGGCTAAACTGAATGTGCGTTGCTTTGTTTTCTTACAGAGATCCCAGTGTGTGCGGGCTGCAATCAGCACATTGTGGACCGCTTCATTCTAAAAGTACTGGACAGACATTGGCACAGCAAGTGCTTGAAATGCAGCGATTGCCAAACGCAGCTGGCGGATAAGTGTTTTAGCAGAGGCGAGAGCGTCTACTGCAAAGAAGACTTTTTCAAGTGAGTGTTCTTCGATCTACAACAGCAGCTTCTCCGACTGCTTCTCGCGCACCTGATACATTCATTCTGTCGACTGAGCACTGTTGAAGTGTCCCTTCAACAGATCAGTATATAAAAAGCGCAAAAAATGTACCGTAAATTCACCATTTAGAAAAAGGCTATCACGTTTTGTTCACATTTTAGAAGAAATGTGTATTCTGGTCGAGATGATTTAATTAGAAAGTAGTGCATACATTTAATAAACTCGTATTTTAAAGTTACTTAACGAGTATTTTGTTCGGCAAGATAGCACTCTGCTGGATGTCTCTACAGATGTTGGTTTATTATATTTTAAAAGAGGGAGAAAGTTTCTGGGATACCCTCATGGCGTCATAATACTGTATCTCCTCACCTCTGCACTTATGATTTGTAAATAATGTAAATTACTAATGTAGTTGGAATGTCTTTTCTGAAATGCAGATTTATTATTATTATTATTATTATTATTATTATTATTATTATTATTATTATTATTATTATTT